GTGTGTGTGTTTCTCTGTCTGTCACGAAATTAGTTCATTTGTCCTAAGAAAGTCAAAGAGCAGTTATTAATAGTTATCATGTTAAAAGCGGAGCACTACTTACCAGGGGCAATTTTGTTCTGAAAACGTGGTAAGTTGGTTGTTCATTTCTTGCTACGGGAAGCGCAGCGGTGGGATCAAACAGAGAACGATAATTTTTCGTTCGCTAAGCGGAATGTGATTTAGAGATAATAGGGATCCGAATTATTTACGAATGTGATATCAATTTAATTTTTTTTGAACATTTAATTTTCTAATCTCAACCAATTACGAATTACGATCTCAGTAGATTAGGATCTGAAAATCAGTTTCTTTCCAAGATCTTTCAGAGCATATGAGCAGATAGTCATTGTTCAGAAGCCACCTTCTCCAAGCGGATTCTGAAGCGCTATGCAATGATTGGATGCGCGCTTTACAGCGAACAATTTTAGCGCTACATGAGAGCGACGAAGTTGTATGTCATGTACTTCATTACTAGAATTTTCCTCAAAGCAACAGCAATATTTTTCTTATAGGAGAGCCATCCCATTTCTTCCACCAAGTCAGAAAGTCGGATGTTACCAAATAATGCAACTAAGAATGCAGCAAAAGTAGGGGCCTGTTCTGTACCAGATGTCGCGACTACATTTGAACAGATCCGGCGAGTACCAGGCAATGAGAGATGTGCTGACTGTGGTTCGGAACAGCCCAAATGGGTCAGCATAAACCTTGGAGTAGGTGTTTACCTTCTTGCATTTCATCTCATTTTCCCTTGTTATATGTAGACATATATACATTCATGAAGTGAGGCACGAACAGTGCGGACCTATCCGAAGGAGAAGTGAAGCACTGGTATATATACTTATATTTTCTTTTTATAACGTTAGCAAAAAGTTCCCATAATTTAATTCAAAACCATCACATGCGCTTCTGTGCGAAAGGGAAAGTTCACCTTTTACCATTTGATCCTACTGCTATGCCTCCCCATAGCAACATAATGACAACCAATTTATTCTGCAGTTAGCATGATTTACTGATAACTGCTCTTTTACTTTCTCAGAACAAATAATTAAATTCGTGACAGACAGAGAAACACACACACATTCACACACATACAGA